GAGATTCTTTTAAGAGCAAGATCTTGGCCATATTTCGTGAGACATGGGAATCAGAGAGAATATTTCCTTCTGATGGTGATGACGGCGTCATTCTCTTCTTTGTGGACTGGCAAAGTGACCTATTTTACCACAGGTACGACAGGACACCCCTTCTTGATATGTGACCTGTACCCACAGCAATCACACAATTCCTATGTCTGGGTTCGTGGAGACTAGGGAGGGCGACTGGAGCTGCGGCATGTTTCTTCATCACTCCTGTCAGATCGCCTCTTCTGCCAATTGGTGGACACTGCACATGTAGCTGGTTGCAACAGCTGTAACTCTTGGGTGGTAGACTCAGGAGTTTCACGAAACCTACAGTTATTATGTCTTCAAGGGTTGTGTCTGACAGCCCTTGAAGACGTTTTGTCTCTTGACCTTGAACACCTATCAACATGGCATGCTTATTTTGGGTTTCAACGAAAGCATTGCTGTCCTTTACACAAGTCCACATCATCTGCTGTTTGTTTCAAGTGCACATAAAATCCGTCAACTTATTGTGAACCTGACTGCACTGGGCAAGGAATAGGGGAGGCTGGACTGAAGCCTTTGCTGAAGTAGTACCTGACGAAGGCGCCGAAGCTGAAAGGTCCGTAGCGGCAACAGGCTGTCGTCCCTCAGCCTGTAGGAAGGTCGGAGACGTGGTGAAGGCAGCAAACAGCTCTTAAAAACCATTGTTTTTCCTTCTCTACTCTTCGTCCTCTCTTCTACATGTTTTCCTCCTGTCTTCATTTGTCTTCCTCTTATCGTCGATGTTCCTCCTCTTGTCTCAGTCTGGCTTCCTTTTGTTGTCATTTCTCGTCCTCTTGTCGACGTTGTTTTTGTGCTTGTTTCCTCTCTTCTGCCTCTTGCCGCCATATTTCCATCATTTGTGACAGTACATTGAAATAGAAGCTGGTTGTGATTCTGGGGGCGACGTCCTCTTGTGTACCCGCTGCCTTCGTCATCCTAGGTATTTCCATAAATAACCATAGTTAAATGTCTGCTATTCTTTGAGTGTGGATCTTGGACTTTTATATCGCAGCGCCTCGCAGGCGGGTGCCGTCAAAACTCCTGAGCTCGGTCGGCCAATTCCGGGTTTCAACGTCACGAGGAGGCAGAGCTTCCTCTTTCTGGTGTGATCAACAGTGCAGCTTTAGACGGGATGCGGGGTGGTGTAGAGCACAGCTCCGGCTAAAATGACTAAAAATGTGGAAGGTTGCAGTATTTCTTGGTCACAATACACCCCAAGAGTTCACTGCATTGCACAAACACTACTAAATCACTTCAAAACATGACAGCCATCATTACTTCGACTAGTAGAACCTACCAGTGCAGGAGCCTGCTTTGCAGCAAAGGCTGACACAAAATCCATAAGGGTCACTGACAATGCCTCCTCGCCCTAAGCTGTAGCACAGCATGCCTAATGGCATCTACCTCTTGATCTCTGTCCTCACACAAGCACAGAGTATTCTTATTCAGAGTAAAAGAATTATCATAAGCTGGGTCTCTAGTGACATAGGCATCAAAGGAAAGAACTCGCTTACATACTTGCCAAACAGGGTAGGGTTATGCCCCCAAATCCCATGATTGTCAAACTAGGTCAAAAGATACTGTGCTACAGGTCCAACGCCAAAGTGAATTCCATTATACAGCAGCTACATAAAGATAAAACCAGAACCTCCCCCTCAGCCAGATGGTACTCAAACGCCCCAGGTTATGAGCCATTGGCACTTCCTCAAAATATACATAGAACTGCCGTAGTCATACTGTACAGATTTAGCCTAGGAAGCAGAAGTAATCCATGGAGGATTTAACCAATAAAACTGGAAAATCATGGAAGCTGCATACATTGTGATGGAGGAGAGTGTAAACACCACATCAGGCAGTTTCAAATTATCCAAGGTCGCAGCAGCAATTGTCCGAATAAGTGCAAGGTCCCAGTCGTCAGGTGATTCATCAGCTCACGTAGAATATATATGCTCTGTAATTTCTTTGATGTATGCATTTCTGTCGAAGATATATTCGAAACCGGTCTTATATTTTCTTGCATTGTGAAGATATTTATTCTCATTCATACCTTTTCTACCTTATCTACAGAGTTTTGAGCACATAATTTCTAAAACAGGTAACTCCACCACAGACGCCGAGCTGTTAAAAATTTTTGCCTTAAGCTTATGCCATGGTAAGAAGCGGCTTTTTGCAACCCAGCCACCACACTAACTGAAAACGAACCATAGAGACAATTAGAAATGGCTGCCACGGTCAGGGCCACTCATGAACAAAGGCCCGGGCGAAGCTAGACTTCGCACTTCGAACTAGCCAGTGACGTCATCAGCCTCCAGGCTAGTACAGTGGTAACGTGTCGGCCTCTCGCCCGAGGTGTTGGTGGTTCGCGACCCACCCAGGTGCAAGAGGTTGTAATTGTCGCCCGGAGGTTACTGCTGTGGCTGGGCACTACGGCGGATAAAAAACTAAGCCCCATCCAGGCAGCACCAGTTGATACATGGTGATCAAGTCGACCTCAGTCGACACAGGCCGGGTTCCCCTCATAGGCATATTCCAGGTGAGGCTCGAATTCGCATATCGGACTTTTCCTTATGACGTCATCGGCCGTGCCTCGCATAGGTTAAGGTCCGGGCGAAGTAACAAGGTATGCACCATATTGGAGGCTTAAAGCGTTTGTGTGCGTTCATTCCTTCCATTTACATTTCTTATTCATTTGGATAATGGTGAATTACTGCTGTGTCTGTGGATGTCATAACAGCGAAAGTCCAATTAAACATTCTATAGGTTGCCGGAAATAACTCGTAATCATGGACGAAAGACATTGAGATTGAGTTAGCAAAGACGACTGCTTTGACTTTCTCGGCTGAATCAGAATCTTGAAGGAAAAAATGAAATAAAATCAAAGTGTTTTGGGCTCATTCTGTGGCAGGCTTTTCTTGCATTCTTTGTGAATGTGGGGCATGTGAAATGGCAAGGAAATAGTAAATGATTTATGGTAAGCAATGATAACAATCAATAATAATAAAAAAATGCATTTAGAACATATCAGATGTAAGAGAAAGGCTATCCAAAGTTACGATAAGGTCTAAACATACCTTGCCTCTTATGATGCATTTCCATCATTTCATTTGACTGCATAAATCTGACCCCATCACATGCAATCCTGGTGTAGGCTTCTAAGCTTTTGCAAAAATTCAGATCTTATGCCGTGTATGGGCTTAAATAACAAATAATTTACAATGTCTATTTACGTTTTCTTTAACGAGGTTCCAGTTAAATGGCGAGTTCATGACAGAGTACGGATCTATGCCACTATTTTTTTTTTTTTTTAGGTCTAAGACCTCTGGACTTTTCTGAAGCCTCAGATCACATTTTCAAAGCTACGGACATGCTAAAGACATATACTTTGAATAAAAGCTTGTATTAGTCTTTTCCTTCCATGCTCGCTTTTCACAGTGCCTCCAATATGGCTGCACATCCGTGATATCTGACTACTGATGACGCTAGTGGAAACCCTCTATAATGATGTATTAAGTCTTTTCTGGCGTATGCAAAGAGAGTTTTATAATGTTAAAAAGGAACATACCCATGTGTCATGAAGCAACCATGGTCTGCCAAGGCCGCAACTGCGCCAAGATCCTTATTGACGTTAGCCATTCTTCGAAAGGAAAACCTAGTCTGTAGTCTTCAGTGCGGAGATCAGAGTACTTCGTCATTTTATCATCTGTGACAGAGAACGACAACCCTGCAGAGAATTCCTTCTCAAAGTATGTCGTCCAGACTCTGGAGAAGTGTGATTTCTCCGCCATACTTCCTGAGGATATGAGGAATTAACTCATGCTTTTAGGAGAGTTAGAAGTTAGAACTCGACATGCTAATTTGAGCATGTTTACATCAAGAATCTCAAATGTATTACCAAAGTCAGTGGTCAAAAAGATTAAAGAGAAGAGGATGTATCTCTTCTATTTGTATGCCGCCCCCTGGCAAGCCGAATTTAAGAGATATACGCCCTTCAGACAATGTATGAATTGCTTTGGGTACGGCCATCTCAAGAGCCATTGGGAAGAGGAGGAAAGAACAGCTGTTAAGAGTGCGGTTGCAACAATCACTCCTATAGGGACAAAAAAAAAAAATTGCGTTAAGAACTGTCTGAACAGATGTGGTTGGTTGAACCCTGCCAAGACAAAGAAATCTTGAAAATCAAATATGATTTCTCCGTGCCCATCAAATTGAACATTAGATACTGAAATTAGATAACGAAAAATAATATATATTAACTTTAGTTCCATTTTAGGTATTATATTAATCGCTGGTATTACAATACGTTCAGTAAATTACTAAATATTGCTCATTCCCATCCTGGAAACTCCAGACATGCAAGGGATTTCGACCCCCCTTACCTCCCCTTCGATTTCTTCACCTCTTTACTCCATCCGTTGAATGACTGATTGGACTAGTAACGTGTCGGCCTCTCACCTGCCTGGGCGGTTGGCGTCCCGCCCAGGCGCGAGGTTTCAACTGTGGCCCGGAGGTTACTGCTGTGGTTGGGAACTACAATGGGTAAGGACTAAGCTCAGTCGAGTCAGTGCCGGCGTTAGTCGGCATAGGCCAGGCGCCTTTCATAGGCATAGTCCAGGCGAGGTTCAGTTTCACATCAGTGTTCTTTTTTCTCCAAAAATGGTTCGATAATGATGCTTGTATTTAGAAAAATAATTGAAAGAGGTAAGGATAAGACGGTTGAGCTTAGC